TTGTGTTAGTCATTTCATATTTCCATTATTTTGTCAATTCTTCTGGAAGCTCAAAATGTGAACTTTGAATAGATTCACAAATCTAAACACAATCACAATGCTTATCAGAAAAATTGCAACCAGATTTTTGTCCCAAATTGTTCAGCCTTATGGCCCTACCACTCAGCATGCTTTCAATGTATCTTTAGCAATACAACACCTGTAATTGAATAAATGCAAGATAGAAAAGTATAATGCCATACTGTGGAACATTCAAATTATAGTTACCCATCCTCTCCTGCTGCCCCAGCTCAATCCCGGCCCCTTAGTCCTAACTGTCAGATTCCCACATGTGCTGACTGAGTGTCCCAAATGGTTTCACACTGGTATTCCATGTATTCCAGTTTAATTTATTTGAGAAAGAAAGTAGAATGAATGGGATCTTAGTGTTTCCAATGCTCCCCACAGGACCAGGGAGCGGGGAGGTGAAAAAAGTCCGACTCACATGATGATTTGGGGTTATGAAAACATGTCCGAAAACATGTGCTCTCAATAAGGGGCGGTCAGGAGGAATCAGCCACTCACAGGAATTAGGGAGTCCAGGATCTGTAGAGAAACTATGCCACTACCAGCTGCTGCTCTTTAGAAATTAGGACAAATGCCAGAAGCTCAGACTGTGTGCACCGGAGAGGGCTTTCTATTTTGGATTTTGTTCAGGGTTGTTTCAAAGTCACATTGGATAGGTAATTTTAATGTAGACTGCTTATTTTGTTTGTATAGCAATGCCAGGTTGAAGTCTTTTCTAGTTGTGATATTTTATGACTTTGATTTTAAGACAGTAAACCTAGACAAGTGGGGGTAAAGGAGAGACATCCAACAAGGGCAGGCAAAACTGACCCCTCAGCATGTTGATAGACTACTGTAACTTTTTAGGTGTTAAAGACGATGATTTCCCCCAAAATTTAAGTAAAAAATTTGTTAAAAAAATGTGATCAATAGTTTATTTGTAAATTAGATCCTATATCACACAAAATTTACTCTTGTGAGTTTTAAATCATGTTACAGTGCTGTTAGTTCATCAAAAACATACCTGGAGTTGTGGTTAGTTTCATTCACACATGTTTGAGCAATCCTTTAATATTAGTGTATGTACATCTCTAAATCCCAAAATGCTCTGTTCCACTTTGTGATATCATGAAGCGACTAGTGCTGTCATGCGATTAAAAAAATTGAGAGATTAATTAATTATGATCTGTAATTAATTAATCTAATTAATCTCATTTTAATCTCACCTAAAAATTGCTGAGAAAAGCCTTCAATTTGAGGTATTTTCATTTAAATTCATTATTACATTATTGTGGCAGATCAAAAGACTAATATAGATTTAAAAAAGTGACTTTATAAAGTTATTTATTGTTTAACAAATCTCTCCAATTTGGCTGTTGAGCCCAAGTCTCCATGAATAAGAAACTGTTTGTTGTAAAGTAGCAAAGATGAGGAAATCTGAACATAATAACTTTTGTGTACTTAAAGACAATAAAAAGTCCAGTCTTTCCTTAACCATATTAAAAATATTATTGATAGAGAAATGCTTTATATATGAGATCACTGGTTTTAGTCCTGGTTTAGACCTGGTTTAGACCTACTTTAGTCCTAGTTTAGTCCTGGAATGGATTAATCCTGGTTTTAGTCCTGGTGTTAGTTCTGGTTTAGTCCTGGTTTAGTCCTGGTTTAGTCCTGGTTTAGACCTGGTTTAGACCTGGTTTAGTCCTGGTTTAGTCCTGGTTTTAGTTCTGGTTTTAGTCCTGGTTTAGACCTGGTTTAGACCTGGTTTTAGTTCTGGTTTTAGTTCTGGTTTAGTCCTGGTTTAGTCCTGGTTTAGACCTGGTTTAGACCTGGTTTCAGTTCTGGTTTAGTCCTGGTTTAGTCCTGGTTTAGACCTGGTTTAGTCCTGGTTTTAGTCTTGGTGTTAGTTCTGGTTTAGAGACGCACAGGAGGAAGCGCGGTTTACGCCGCGTACGCGAGAAAACACGATCCACACGCGGCTCACGGGAGCACGTCGGTGTCCGCGCAGTGTCTACGGAAGGAAACGTGGTCCGCGCGTTCTCAGGTTAATGACGATGATGAAGGTGTGTGTTTGTGTTTGTGTGTGTTTGTGTTTGTGTGTGTTTGTGTGCGTGTCCCCTCATGTGGCAGGTCACTATAGGACAGTAGTGCAGACATCATGAGTCTATGCAGGTTGTTTTGCACCAGTGACATTTAAGTTGTAGGCGATATTATATTAGTTATTTTCTTTTATATTTCACGTCGGGAAAATAATTTCCAAGACACGAATGCGTTTTTACCTGTGCACTGCTGCCTCTGTTCTACTGGCTCTTCGACGCCGCCAACGTTAACATGACGTTACATCGCTCTTGCTGCGCGCGTTTTATGTGGGTTTCCGGCAATGAGTGGAATTACCGAAATAAAAAAAATGTATAAATGTGTTTTTTTTGTGTGTGTGTTGTTGTCCCAACAACACATTAAAACAGGTTTTATAATAAAGCAACTCGCATACAGAAACACTAATGTTAGAGATTAAAAATGAGATTAACGCGATTAAAAAACATAACGCGCTAAATATGACTGTAATTAATTAATCGCAATTAACGCGATAATTTGACACCCCTAGAAGCGACAGTTATCAAGTTAGCAGCTACCATTTACCTTTTGTGTAGTACAGATGGGCAATTCCAGGGCTGAAATAATCCAAATGGGTGAAGGTGTGTGGAATTTACAAACACAGAGGAGCATTTCCTGTATTAACACAAGATGGAACAGAAAGTTTTCTGTTTGAGAGAAGAACTTGTGTAAATATGCAGGATGTGTGTGTTAAACATCTGTGAATGAAACAAAACAGAACACCACATATGATGACATTTTGATGAACAACTTCATAACACAGATTAGAAAATAGCTCAATATGGGCCTTTTAAATTAGGTTAATCCCAATATTTTAGAAACACACAGTGTAGTAGATCGCTTTGCCTCAAATGTTCCACAGTATATCATTTAACTCATTTATATCCATGGAGAAATGTAGGCCAAGTTGCATGTCAGTTCTGTGGAGCAACGAGCCTGCAATGCATGTTTTTAAAGATATTCAATAAAATCACATCAATGAAATAAATAGACAAGATTAAAGCTATACTGTGGCAGGCAAAGCAATAACATTTCTATGAATATTAGCAGATAGCGGACCACCCACCAGAGATGTTACATAGTGCACCTTTAACTTGTATTTTGTTATCACTTTTCTACAAGAATTTAAAAAAAAAAAAAAAAAAAAAAAAAAAGCTAAAAGTTCTCTGTGTAAACTCAAATAATCTCCACTTCTCTGTTTTGTGTGAACTGCCTGAGATGAAGGAGGTTCAGAGCAGGTTCAGAGCTGCGGAGTGAAGCTAGCTCCCCTGACAGCTCTAACTGAGATTAATGTTGGGAGTGCATTAAGTGTTTCTAAATGTTTTCACACCGATTAAGTAACCTAACGCTGTTCACTGGCACTGTGGCCTACATTTCCCTTCACACCTCTCTCTCAGTTTAATTTATGTGAAAGTAAGTTACATTTCACAGCCTCCCCTTTGGCACCTGTGTCTTACACCAAAAGCATTTAGAAATGGTACATTTGAAGATTTTAGATATGGTTTTGCTAACTGCACACACAGTGCCAAACCTGTAGTTTTCCAAGTACAAGTTGTAACAAAATGAAGTGAACATACTAATCAACGAGTAAAAATAGGCCAAACAAAACATAATTACTATGATAAAACAGGGCTAGCATAACTTAGCCAGAGCAAAATCCTGTTTATTCAAATATTACCAAGTGTCTCCATTAACCACCATTAGCATCACTTGTAACACAGCTTCAGTAATGAGTACTTTTGTTGTCCTGTCTTACTCATTATCCAAGTAAATGATACACCAACTTGCAATACTTATAGGAGCATATGTTTTACTAGCTTGATTCATCAGCCGGTTTCACTTCGTGGAAACCATCTGACCATTAGAATTTGTTAGTTCGACGATAGGCAGGTACTTTTTTTATTTAACCAATCGCTGCTATTTGGTCATGACATGTAATGCACCACGGGGCTAACTGGTATATTAAGCTTTTCCCAAATCCCGTAGGAAGAAGGACAATAACATCTTTCTCCTTGATAAAATTCACCGAACATTCTCTTTATTCTGGCTTTAAATCCTCGATCTCGGGAATCGTTGCCAACACAGAATATAGGGCTCTTCGGTAATTGGCTGTTGCCCGGACTCGCACTTCCGGGGTTCTTGCAAACCATGTAGTGTATTACGATTCTTGACCTAGTTGCTGGAGAGAAGTGAAATTGAGCGCAGGCACTAGGTGGGGCCAGCCTAGCCAGCCAACGTTTTACACCAGGACAAAACAAATATCCTTGGGGAATAACAAGAATTGAACTGGGTCAAAATGAAACTTGATTGGTTAAAGACAGAAGAAAAATCCTATATGTTTTGATGCTTTGCAGTAACATCATGCTGAGGGTTCTACATGTATCTCCATGGTGGAATATTCAGTAGTTACCACGGGGAGACAAACACTATCAAAACATTTTTAAATATGTCTGAAAACTCAAGAAAAAATACAAAATGGATTTAAACAACACATTTTCAGGAGCCTGTGATCAATGCAAGTGGCTATGGTCAAAAATAAAGGTGAGAGTTACTAAATGAAAAACTGTTGTCTAATACTAGCAGTGTGTGACTGTAATTTGATCTGATTTTCTAGTTAGATTGTGTTAAAACCAAACTCAGATTAAAGTCTAACTCGAGTCCCAGAGCTTCAGATGGAGTAGTGCCTACAGTTAGCATCAAACCCTAGTGAATGTTGATGACACAGCTACAAAGTATTAATACCAACAGTGAAACTTGCATTATTATTAGAGAACCATAAATGTACTGGGAAAGTGTTAGATATTGATGAGTGTGTCTATTTTTGCATTATTATTTGACAGGTGTCCCTCTGATTGATGGCGGTACAGTGCGTCTCCCACGTCTCATTGGTTTGTCCCGGGCCTTAGACCTGATCCTGACTGGACGTCCCATTGGAGCACAGGAAGCTCTCGCCTATGGACTGGCAAACAGAGTGGTCCCAGATGGACAAGGTAGAACCATTACCTCAATATAGGTATTTTTAAATGTTTACTGTAGTAGTTTGGATCAGACACCTCAAATGTATTCCAATAATTTTCAGTTCTTGGCTTCAACACATTGCTTTGAGTAGTTTTGTCGTTAATTTCTTTTTCATTCAAGCTGTTTGCCAAGACATAGTAAGTTATGCATGTGTTTCAATGGGGCATTTCCTGTTATATAAATGTCTAGCTCCCACTATATTCTTTAATGTGTAAAAAAGCATTCCCATGTGTTGAATTTTGTTAGTGCATGGTAACCTAAGTATAAAATGAGACTTGTGTTTTTGTTTTGTTTGTTTTTTATGAACAGTTGGGGCTGTGTTGAGTGATGTTTACACTGTTAGAATTACATGAACAAAAACAATGCATATTTTTGCCTGAAAGTCTGGAAACTGTTATGTCGCTGTTATGTGGGGGTGGACATTATAGTGATCCATCAGAAATGTACCTGTGACTGTCTTGAGGTTCACTTATGACCCAAATTTGAATATAAACCAAAATACAAATTAAAGGGTCCATATTATGCTATTTTTTATGTTTATAATGTTGTTTCCTCATCAAAAACGCACCTGCAGTTGTGTTTTGTTTCATTCACAAATGTTTAACACACAAACCCTGCATATTTAGGTTGTGTTCTTCTTCTTCTGTGTAAAATGTATCTGTTAACTTGAAAACTACTCACATCATGACATCACAAGGTGGAACAGAGCATTTTTAGCTTTGGAGATGTAAGCAGACTAATAATAAAGGATTACTCAAACATGTTTGAATGAAACAAAACTCAACTCAGGCTATGTTTTTGATGAAGTGACAGCATTATAACATAGCTTAAAGCTCACAGTCAATTTTGTGTAATTTAGGACCTTTGACCACAATAGTAATCAGCTTTTTTCTAACCTTTACAAATATTTTATATAATAGATTATACTTTATTTTCTAAAATAACGATTGCAATGTTATATGTGCTGTTATTATTGCTGATATATCTTCCACATTTTTTGTTGTGTAATATTGTTTATCTGCGTTTTTTTCCACAGCTCTGGAAGCAGCGCTGGAATTGGCCAAACAGATCAGCTCTTTCCCTCAGCAGTGTCTGAAAGCCGACCGCTCCTCCGCCATCTACAGCTGCTACGACGCACAGTCATTCACACAGGTACAACTGATTATAGAAATGTAATGTATGAAACAAAGTGTCTAGCAAATACTTACTAATAATGATGATAATGATAATACAGATTTTACATATAAAATTGCTTTGTGAAAAACAATCTGAATAATTTGGCCATAGAAATATATCAATTATATTTTTCACACTTCACACACGGTTGAGTAATCCTGCATTATTCAGCTGTCCACATTCCCAAAGCTCAAAACGCTCTGTTCCACCTTGTGATGTCATGTGGTACTGCAATACCAGTATGCAATTACAAAGCTGAAATCATCCAAGTGATTCTAATAAAGGTGTATGAAGTATGAAGAACACAGTGGCACACTTCCTGTATTACCACAGGACATCACAAGGTGGAACAGAGTGTTTTCTGTTTGAGAGAAGAACTCAGCCTAAATATGCAGGATTTGTTTTTTGATGATGATTAAAACTACTAAAAACCTGTCCAAAATACAAAATAAAATGTGTGTGTATGTGCAGGCGATGCAGTTTGAGGTGGACCATGGACTCCCCGTTATCCCATCAGAAAGTGTTGCAGGAGCGTCCCGGTTCAGTTCAGGAGCCGGACGAGGAGGAAAGTTTTCCTAGAGCTTTAGCTTACAGACCTCCAGATTTATTTTTCAGGTGAACACATTGTTTTTCATTTATTCTAATGATATTCAAATGGACTTTTGCCACAATGCGGCCGTGTGTGCTTTGCTAAAAACATGTAATTATGAAATGATTTTGTTACGAGTTCAAGTTTGGAGCTGGAAATTACATTAACTCAGAATGAGCCAAAGCTAAGTACATGCTAATATGTCAGTGATCCATGTCGTGCTCATTTTTCTAATTCTTTTGGTGGTAACAATAATGCACAGATGGATATTAAAACTAACTGTTAAACCAAACTCTGTCACAAACTATTTAAAGGGAAATTTATTTTTCTGTGTTTAATGAAAGGACTTCTGGTTCTGGTACTGGTTCTCTCTTTCAACCCCATATTTAGTGAATGAAAATTACAACCTAAAATCATAAGTAACATTGTTGCGGTCTATTTCGTCTCAAAAAGTCAACACCACAGACTAGGTCTGGGCAATATGACACAAATAATATTAAACACCCTCACCCCTGCTTTTTGTGTTTAATTTTATCACAACAAATTCCAATGTTTATGAAATTGACTGTTGTCTCTTGCATTCAATGCTGCTTAGAGACAATTTGAACTAAATCTCAATTCAATTAACATTCACGCATTTAATGAACCTTTACCCTTTGTTGCTATCCCCGATTGTAGCAGCAGGACTAAAATCAAGTACCAATGAAAGCTGAACTAGAACTTCTTCGACATCACATATTTAAAAATATGAGATCCACTCATGATATGGACCTACACAAGTTGAGAAATTATACATTTTGATACTTGGCAGCTGATATCATCAATGTTCTCTGGGGGATGTGATTATAATTGTAACTACTGCTCTGTCTGAAGCTCTGTTATTCAAGGTAGACTTTAATCACGGCTTTTTTCTTAATACAATCTGACCAGAAAGAACTGACTTAGGTGAAACCAGGTGAGATGATTTTTTTCAAACACCATTACCACTCATCCTGAAAATGTGCTAAAGTCCATTTTGTGTGGGTTTTTTTTTTTTGGTATGGTAACTCCATGGTAATCTCTATGGTAACTGATGGAACATTAAGCCAAAGCACATACATGTAGAACATCCCCACCATGATGCCACTGAAGTATATAGAGTTGCTAGTTTTGATGTTTTAGCTGACATAGGTTTGATCTATTAATTTTCCCTTTGCTTTTTTGAACACCATCTCTCAATAAACGTCAGTAACACTTTCAGTCCTTTATTTTTCTCTTATTGAGTTATTGATTCTCCTGCTTTTCTTACTAAGGTACAGCATGTGAAGAGAGTGGTTGTTTTTGTAAGACTAGTCATAGAAACCCAGTCTTTCCCTTTGCACGTGTGAGTGTGACCCGGTGGTAACTATAGGAGGACCACTGTTTTGGAGGATCAGCATTTCTGTGATCTGTGCCAGGTGTGGGCAGTCCTCCTGTTTGGAAACTCACCTCCCTATATTCATTCAAGCTTTATTTTTACATGACGTTTCTTATGACCTTTCTGTTGCTGTTTAATTGCTTATAAAAGATCCCACTGAAAGACTGAGAGGAACCAAAAATAACAGGTGAATGTAACAAATTGCTTTCTTATGTTACTCTAGTGAGGTTGATTTTGGGAGCAAGTAATATTTGGGATTGTATTCTTACTTTAATATTAATGTAATTTAACATTTATCATCAGCATTGTGTGTCCAACTTAACTATTACTAAAACTGTTGACTGAGATGTTCATTCACTAAATTTGTCTGGAATTTTCTGTTTTTTTAAAGGAGGCTTATGCAAATTCAGCTTTTCAGAACTGTTAATCGTATATTTTTTCTCCTTCTCTTTAACCCTCATGACAGTGTATTTAGAGTAATTTGTGCATGTTTGAGTAATCTTTAAGTGCTTATTTTTCAAGACGCCATATTGTACATTAACCCCGTTTTCACTGCTACAGGCATACACTCACTGTTCTGTACTAATGTTATTTTCTTAAATGGGGATACATGTAGTATTCAGCAGCATCAGCATTTCAGCATTAGTCATTTTGGTACAAATAAAAGAAAAACTGCTGTTCACAAGCATTATCTGCAGCTATCCAAAGGAATTACCAACCACCTGCTGTGATGATGTTTACAGTGATGTTAGCTCCCACTGGGCATAGCAGAAATCAGTGAACTTATGTCTTTTATTATGTCATTTTAGATCAATATATTGCAAATTATAACATAATGATCCATGGGGTCATAGGTTATAACTATATAGCAGGCTCAAGCACAATGTGTCTTCTTTGAACTCCTAAAAAACACTAGCTATAAGTTAACAGCAGGGGTGTATGGAAAGTATTTAGGAATAAGCATAATAAATAAATACATAAGTAGCTTCCCACCACTGAGCAAGAAGAGGGAATTTTGCTATGTTAAGTATTTAGCGTTCATCACCGTGCTCTGCAATTATCATGTTTTTACCCTAACAGTTGAACATCAGTGGCTTAATTTATTGGTAAATATTTTGTAATTCACTTTTTGCTCAGCCCCCAAACTGTATATTTCTAGACTGCTTTGTTTTTACAAAGTACAATTTCACCCTTTTTACCTTTGAGAGTGAGCTTTGTTCTACTTTGTGCATAGGAGAGATCATATAGGGCCAGACGAAGACCTCATCAGTTTTAGGAGTTGTCCGTCTAGACAGTGTGATGACAGGACGCGCACCGCTGTTTAATGTTTCTGACTCCTCCCTGAGCTTCCACAACACATCACCTGCCCCTCCGCTGCCAGGGACATACGCAGAGCCCGATGAGTCAAAGTAAAGGGATAAGTACTATAGTGCATTTGTGCTGTTTGTTTAATGTTTCATTCAGGCTTCCTCTTCCCTGTTTGGACTGAGGTGCGCGGTGGCGGTGGTGGTTTCGGGAGCAAATGACGTCATGAGGAGCGACTGTTTAAGGGAGACACAATCAAATAGAAAAACTACCAGAGCAATGAATGTGAGAATTCACCATAACATAAATAGTAGATTTTCACTTCTAATGCTCAAAAAGTGAACATAAAGTGCAAAAAAAAAAAAAAATCTAAAAAAAAAAAAATTTCCCTCGCTGAGCTACTTTTACAAAACAAAAGCTACTATGGCAGAGCTACTCCTTTTACGTGTTGCATGAAACTGAGCTGATATGAAGGTAACGACTGTATCTTTAGATGGGGTACATTTAGATGCTTATAAACATAAATCAATATATCAGTGCATAAAACAAGACATTCATATTAAACATTTACTGTAATAACAGACATGTGATTAACTGGTAGCTCATGAGCTAGATGGGTCCCTGCTCCATGCAGGTTGCCTCAGGATGGGATACCCAGGATGGGTCAAATGCAGAGGATTAATTTCCCCCTGCGGATCGAAAGTGAAACTTATTGTTTCTGCTCTATCTTTGTGGCATTAGTAATACTTTTATTGTACATTGTGTAATAAAGCTTGAGTGCTCTGGTAGTATTTCTTTAGGGAGTGTCTTAATAGCAGATTAGTTAGCACTTCTGCCTGTCAGCATTTGGGTTGCGATTTCAATTCTCAGGACCCTTATGTTACCTGTCCTTAAGTCAAGTGATCTGGGATGATAATGTAATGAATACAGAAGTATAAGTGACTAATTACAAGTTCTGTCTGTTTTTATGTATGTTTAAAACTGAATTGGCATGTGCATATTTTATTTCACATACATTTATTATTGTAGACTGTTATTATTGCTTTTCCAACAATGTTTCACAGTATGGCATTAAAAAGACAAGCAGGTGATGACGCCACCAGGTCAAGTTACAGATCAGTTTTTTTTTCTTTAGCAATAAACACCTGTAGATTAGATTAATGCCATAATGTGGAACATTCCAGGCTAAACCATAACATCTCCATAGACACAAGTTTAGCTGGTAGCACATCCTCTAAAAATGTTGCATAGTGCACCTTTTAAACTCTCAAATTAAAAACTTTTAATTAGAAATCCTTGAACACTCGTCATTGTAAAAAATAGGCTATCTTAAATTGATTTGCCTGGTGTGGAGAAGCAGATTCCTTGTACATTTATTTAGCATGACAAGCACCACCACTGACCTGTGTAATGTTTAAACATGTCTTCAACACTGTTTGTTACAGAGCTGCCTCAAATTACCCGTTTCTTCCCAACCCCAAAGACCTGCCTGTGGTTTGACATGAACGCCAGAGGACAGGAACCAGGAGATCTCTGAGTAATAAAGAAACTCAATCTACTTTTTTGGTGGGATTAAAACAAGGAAAGAAATATTTCAAATGCTACAGACCGAGGCTAGCTGCATAAGCATAACTGTAAATCAAATGTTAGCTCTTATTCAAATAAATGGGGGATTTTGGTCCAAGTTAAACTAAAAGGAGGAAATGAATTGGTTCTATGAGAGTAGTGCTTTCTGTCAGACGCTTGAGTGGTTATTGTAGGAGTACATCTTTACATAGACAGCCTGTTGTGCATAGTATTCTACTGCAGCAACTCACAAAATCTGGGATGGATTTATTTGGTGCTACAACACGGAAAATGTTCCATAGTGTTGCATTTTATTATTATAATATCCATAACAACACAAAAAACACTGTAACATAAAAGGAAAAAAAAAATCCCATTGCTCAGTTGAAAATGTAGGTAGTGTATTTTTACTAAGCACTTTTTAACTATTATTGTTATTGTTGTTATTGTTTAACTATCTCCCAAAAGAGTGCTATTGAATTTTAAAGCCTCACTGTGTAACTTTTTAAATAGACTAAGATACAAATGTGTTTATGTTGTTCTTTTAACTATAATATTCTACAGTATGCCATAAAACTCGTCTTCATGGAGAATGTCACAACCAAGACCAAGAGTGCTTTAAAATTAACACATAAAAAAAAGAAATAAAACAACTATACTTGACCTTTGTCTTGCTTTGAGTGGTCCCTATAAAGTATGTGGTATTGTAAGAGTCATTTTGAGCCACAGTAATATAATGTACCCTTATTTCTTGCTGAGATCAAAACACTGAAGTCTTTTGCTGATCTGGAGTCTTGTCCATTGTTGCTGTGTGGTGGAGGGCCTGTTGGTATGTGGGGCTTTGATGCTGGTTCTCACTCTTCACTCACAGATAAGATAATGGGAACAGCCACAGCAGACGCCCCACTGGAGCAGATACGGACACCTTTGGGTTTATCGTGTGGTCTATCGACTTCAGAGACAGCTGTGGAGACATAACACAGGTTAGACTTCAAGAAATAAAGGGAAGAAAAGACAAAAGGACTGAAGGAATTTTGATAGTGGGAGTTTTATATTTCCTGGGCTAGCTTACACACTTACACAATCACACATTAACACTGGGGCTAAACTAACTAAATCTGGACTAGACCAGGACTGGACCAGGATGAGAACCAGGATGAGAACCAGGACTAGAACCAGGACTTGAACCAAGACTAGAACAGGACCAAACCAAGTCTACATTTGGACTCAAACTGGGCGTAAAGTACCAAAAAATGACACATCATTAGACCAACTGAACCACAAGGCAAATTACATGGACACAAATAGCACGATTTCCCTGAAATATTGAAGAGAAAAAGTGCACGCCAAACATAAGTAAATGTTGCTTCTTATTTAGATCAAAATGATTAAGAGACTAATTGTTTTTTTAATTATTATGTTATTATCTTTTGACAGACAAAATGTGTCAAATTGTTGAACTTCTCTTAGCTTTTTCACTGGATGGGTGATGGATGGTAAACTGAAAAATAACCTACAATTTTTACTTTTTAAAATGTGATTTTAATAGCCTACAATTACCACTTAATGGATTTGAAGTGAATCACACTAACCACAAATATATGATCTACAACGTGTGTAATGATTAATGAGGCAACTAATAAGGAAACTGGACAGTGGACATTAATTACCATTGGTCTACATATGTCCAGAGTGCCTTTCCTCGGTGCATAATCCGTTGCTATTTTCTAGTCCATCGTCAGGGGTCGTGCCTCAACTGGAGAAACACGGAGTGGTCAAACTTATGTGGACATTTAGCTTAAGTAACCAGACCCTATACAGACAGATAATGGTACATATGTGAAACTTAAATACTTTCAGTGATTGGACATTATCTAAGTTCAGCTATTGATACGTTTGTGACAGTCTGATTTGCCCCAAACAGTAACAACAAGTTTTATCAACGACATTTTAACTCAGTGTGATAAATACAACATTTCCTTGTGAGACGATGTTAAACTACGTAGATAGTTTGTTATACTGCCATTTAGCCACAAATAAAGCATAGAAAATTAAAAGTTCCCGTTTGTATGAGCTCCACCTCTGCCCATTGCGCGCGGAGTGGGCGGTTTCTGGACTTTTACGCACGCGGCTCATGCACGCGCAACATATTATGGACTGCAACCTGCTGATTCCTCTGAGTGGAGCCTGTAGTGGCCAGAGACCGTCACTTAGACCAACGGAGGCAATAAAGAAAACCCGAGTCTGCGCGTTAACGGAAATAAATACATAAGAGGAATGGCTACTTTACAAGGGAACGTTGTGTGTCCACTGGATTGTATGGTGGTAAAAGTTTGATACATTTTCACGTGTTTCATCCTCAAGTCCCAAAACGCGCAACTGGGATAAGAAATGAAAGCAAGTGCGTCGCTCCTCTGTAGATCTTGTTTACGGGAGTTTTCCAAATGGCTTGACACGGGAATGTTTCTTCGCGTCTGATCACGACAGATAACAGCCGGACTTTGGCTTCAATTCCTCGGACTTTTTTCCCGTTTGGGCTGTCACCATGAGAGGCTGCTGGCTCTGCTTCCTCGGACTGTGGTGGAGCGCGTACTACTGCACCGTCCCTGTCTCCGGTAGAAACAACTTCTCTCTGGATGGTAACAACGAGGTTCACCCCGGTTTTATCCACCGGAGGCTGAGGACGCACGAAAAACGGGAGATGCAGAAGGAGATTTTATCCATTCTGGGACTACCGCATAGACCGAGACCGCATCTGTCCCACGGGAAATACAACTCCGCGCCGCTGTTCATGTTGGACTTGTACAACACAATATCGAGCGAGGAGAAGAGCCAGGTGGAGGGCGTCTTGGACCGATACAGCCCGATGCGAACGACGCAAACTCCGCATGTGGCCACGTTCCAGGAAACTGCCTTTCTAAATGACGCGGATATGGTGATGAGCTTTGTCAATTTAGGTAAGAAATCCTCCGCAGCTTCTTCAAATGTCGTGCGTAATTGCGCTTTGGTCCGCTGCTGTCTCGAGCTCAAAGTGGGAACAGGTGTCAGACACACGCATGGCTCTTTCTCTTCCTCTGTCAGTTCTATAGCAGCCTGTGGTTTACAGCTGGTCTCACTGGAAGCTACGTGGTGTGGAAATCATTGTTCAGTCTTTTTCGTTCATTTTAAGAGCAGTATCTCTCCCTCTTGTGACTTTTACATCTTTTATTACCGTATTAAATTCAACTTAGATTTGGTATAAATTTAAGCATAAATCTACTCATTACTCCCACACAGAATAGTAATCCAAACGGGATAGTTTAGTCGTTTTCTTCCTTCTGGTAATGATGAAATGATGGGTTGTATAGCTTAGATTTACATAACCCATAATCCAACATCTGATTTTATTGTTTTCTTATGCCATTTAAAGGTGCATTGTGTAACCTTTCTGGCGGGCAGTCCGTCAGATTCTTTTTGCCTTGGAAATGTTATTGCTTTGCCTGGAAAATTTCATTGTATGGCATTAAGCCTTTCTATTTGGAGACAAAGTTACAGGTCATATCTGTGGAGAGGCAACCCTACTCACAGTCAAAATTCCTGTTTTTTCTAGGTGTTGAGCTATAAAACCACCTGTAACTGAACAAATGTAAAATAGAGCTGCTTAATGTCATACTATGGAACATTCCAGGCAGAGCAATGGCATATCCAGGTTACAGACCCTCCCCTGGAAAAGTTACACAGTGCTCCTTTAAAGTACGCCTGAAGATATTTGACTGGAAAAGCACTAGCCCAAAGAATGACAGCTATTATAAATCACGTTTTGTAGCCTGTAAGCCTATGTTTGTGCCCAAATTTGCTAACATTTTGCACAGCTGATGTCTTGCAAACAAATGTAGTTCAGCCTCGTAAATCTCAAGTCTAAACTGTTCCTTTTGCTTAATTAGGTTTGATTAGGTCTCTCCCACAGTAATTCATTCTCTGTCTCTTCTGCAGTGGTCTTCCGTGGCTCATTTCTTGTCCCCAAAGTCTGTGGTCGGCCCCTCTCCTTTGCATTTGCCCATGATTTACAGCCATATAGGAAAAAAATCATTCCCAAATCATCTTTTATGTCACACCACCGCTGGTATGTGTATATAAAAGGGCTATTCCCACTTTGGACTTAGAGACTTGTGGTCTGAGTGTGTAAATTGTATTGCGTTGTTTGTGTTAGTGGAGGAGATAGGCTGTAATTAGCTCCAGTGATGATAAAGAGGGACACTTTAATTACAATGAGTTAGGAACATGAAAGCTCAGAGCCCTTCCTTCCATTAGTAAGTCCACTGTTTACTGCTTAACTATAAACAAGCCAGCATTTGGATAAACAAGAGGACCAAGTAGTAGATGGGTGGTGAGGTTGTGGGGACGTAAAGCTTTTGTCATGTAATCCTGTGAAAACATGTAAAGCTTTTGTGGTGTTGGGCAATTTTAGATCAATCCTGGGTTTTCTTTATATAAAAAAAACAATTATACATAGTTCATTTGGGTTCATTTCTGGTCTTTAGTTTTGTCTAATTATAGTTAAATTAATTAGTGTGTAATTAATGACACAAGGATGGCGGCTTGTATTCAAACATTGCAAAATCTCGCAATGATAGGAGGAATTGTGTAAACATTTACTCATTAAACTCCAATAAACTGTCCTATTTATTTATATAATTATTTATTTGTAATGATAAGTTATTGTAGTTGCTTATTTGGTGCTTAAATGCGTAGTAATATCTTGCAGTAATTCTTTCTCCAGCCTGTAAACACCTACAGGAGGAACATGCTGTGGTCTATTGGAAAATCTAGTTATTATTCATAACATTTAATTGGTCCCAAAGTCAGATACTGTTTACAATAAAGAAAGGCTTGTAACTGTCACTCTGTTTTATTAGATGTTTTGCAAGGTTTCTCAAATTGCTTCTCACTGCAGGTGGGGACATCTGGTTAAGTCCCAGTTGAGTCCTGGCTTTTTCTGGGCTAATTCCAGTTTAGTCCAGGTTTAGTCTTTGTTGGTTTGTAAAGGATCTGTCCTGTTTTATCCCTATGAATAATACAAATTTTGTCAACTGAATATGGCATGTTGAAAAGGAAATTCTGTGGCATGTTACTTGGCTCCAACATTTTGCAGTTAAAAATATTCCAAGTATCTTTCATATTGACCTGTAAGTATTTAGACTGACAAATGCAAAAGGTGTATTTTCTCAACCTGCATACTAAAACCTATGTCTTCTATTGTATCCAGAATTTTAAAGGTCCTATATTACGCAAAATTGAGTCTTGTAAGCTTTAAGCCATGAAAAACATACCTGGAGTTGTGTTCTGTTTCATCCAGAAATCCTGCCTTATTAGTCTGTGTACATCTTCAGTGCTTGAAATGCTCTATTGCACCTCGTGATGTCATTGTTGTGGTAGTTTTCAAGTGAACAGCTATCTTTTACCTTCAGTTCAGTAGAGATTGGCAATTCCAGGGGTGAAATCATTCAAATGATTCTAGTGAAGGTGTATGGAGTTTAAAAACACAGTAGAGCACTTCCTGTATTAACATATGACATCACAAGGTAGAACAGTGTGTTTTCTGTTTGAGAGAATGACTCAGGCTAAGTATGCTGGATCTGTGTGTTAAATGTGTGAATGAAACAAAACACAACTCCAGGTATATTTGTGATGAGGAAACAACATTAGAACATAGCAGCATAATATGGACCCTTTAAGTAGTGCACCTGTGAAGTCTATATTGTGGCTTGGGCCCAGCTCGTGTGGTCTCTTGCTGCAGCCACTCAATGCCACACATGAAGAGGAGTTAAGCTGCCGTTCTGAGAAGTCAAATGCTTCTTGCTTGTTATTGGTCCTCTGAGTATTTGTGTTGCAACATGTCATGATGAAAACCAGATCTGCAGACAGGAGCAGGGCAGTTTTTTGGGGCTTTTAGATGTTGCTCGCCGCCCCCGTATTGGCTCCTGTGTGGGGGCCTAGTCATGGTTTTCAGCTTCCTGTTTATAGGCGCCATTTTGAGCGCTTTTTACCATTCAAAAGATAGAATATGTTGTTTTGAACAATTTATTCCTATAGCAACTGTGCTGTATTTTCATCTCTCTCTGTGAAATATTGTGGTATTGATACTTTGCAGTGACATCACGCTGGGGCTATTCTGCATGTACCTCTAGTGACAGAATGTTCACGAGTTACCATGGTGACACGACTCAAACATTAGCAAACACAGACAAAAAACGTTTTTAAGATGAATGAAAACTCAACAAAAATACAAATTTGATTTAAAAAACATTCAGGAGCCTGTGATCAACACAATCATTCATGGGCCTATTTAGGAGTTTGGCTAATGCTGGCTGGCCTGTGACTGTAATTTTATGTGTGAGAGACTTGTTTAAGCAAATCACCTCACCTGTTGTAGTTCCAACCAAATTAACTCTTTCTGGTTTTGTGACTGTGTTAAAATAAAGCTCTAACTTGAGTAACAGGATAGTGCTTCCAGTTAGCAGCACACGCCCAGGGAATGTTGATGAGATCAACTGCAAAGTATCAATAGTGGTAGTTTGTTATCAGTGTGGTGTGATCGTGATTGGTGATAGCTGGAGTGGCTCGTGGCACAGACTGGGAGCCTTGCTTTTAGTAGGCTATTCCAGGGCAGCTGTGGCTACAGTGACTTACCACCACAGATTATGGAGTGAATGAATAATGCAATGTAAAGTGCTTTGGCTGACTTGAAATATTACTATATTATGACTATATTAAAATGTCAAACTTAATTTTGATTCTGAGGAAAATACTCAGTACTCAAGGAGAGGTCCCTCCACTTTAATATACAGAGATAGCTGCACAAAACAGGATTACACAGATCTCTTAAAGGTTTATGGTAAAAAAGGGCTGTGAGAGAGTTTGTAGTAAATTTAAATTACATCATTTGGGGACAATAATCAAAATCGGCCCTACATATTGGCCCAAAATATATCAGCAGAGTTTATCAGCAATCAGCAGCTCTGTGTTCTAAACACCCGTATCGGTATCGGCTATGAAAAAAGAAACATATCAGTCGATCTCTAATTTATTCCCCAGTATCAGTTCTTGCTTGCTCAAATGGGTGTCTACTTTCAATTCTAGTTTCAGTATTTATCATTGTCTGAGTATCAATTTCCTTGGCAACCCTAGCGTATACTTCACGCTTCGAGCACATCTGGCCCACTTTCCTTTGATTGATCACAGCCTGCGCATCTTTTGACGATTCTCTCAGATTTCTTCCTTGCAGTGACTGGGGATTGCGTTGCCTTCTCCTCAGGCTGTACACATAGTCCTAGCCTAACTGCCTTTTTGGAGGAGGGACTGTTTCCTCCACAAATGTGATTGTAATTAATGCTAGACGGGGCCAAGGATTCCCATCTGCTTTGCAAATAAGTCCTTGCACGACTACTGTGTGTCATCACTGGCCCAATTGGATTTTAATGCACCTCTCGCTGCGATTGGGTAAAGTAACGTTGATAGAGTTCAGGTTGTTTTTGTGAGTGGGTGGTCTGTCTTAAACCTGGATGTCATCTGTGGGGGCTACAAATTAGAAAATCAAGATGAATTAAACTGTGAAATGGCAACACAGCCAAGCAATCTGTCCAAACGAATGAAAAATATGAGCTGGAGTTTAAGAGGCGTAATCTATCTGTGACATTCTTCTGTGATAATTACATTGAAATTGGATTACGTGGATTAGATCATTATTATAACATCCTCCTCCAAAGATGGAAAGAGTACTTTGAAAATGTATTTAGATAGAATAGTTCCTTAGAATACTGAATACCTGTAGTTTGTAACTTATCCTTTTACATAGTTAGATAGTCAGGTCATAGTTCTGTGTTATGGGTGCCTAGAATACTGTCACATTAAGTTTAATTATATTATTGTGTAAACATATAACATAGGATTTAAACTGCTTTATATTTATTGTATTGTT